GTCTAGTGCTCGTCAAGGTCCTGGTTAAGCCGTACGCCGACGTCAAGCTACAGCAATACAAGAAACAGATAATAGGTAACCTTCAGGCGTTTTCAATACACCCAGAAATCTTCTAATCAAAACCAGAGCAGAGTAACGCGATAGACAAAATCCCCAACACCCTCGGATTCCAGCGCATTATCGAGACCGAGACCAATGGCTACTTGGTCCGCCAGTTTCTTTACAGCTCACTATACGACCGAGTCAGCACTCGACCGTTCCTCGAGGACATCGAGAAGAAATGGTTGGCCTTCCAGCTGCTTTGCGCTCTTCGCGATTGCCACGCACGCGATGTCTACCACGGCGACATCAAGGCGCAGAATGTCCTCGTGACCTCGTGGAATTGGTTATACCTCTCCGATTTCTCCTCCGCCTATAAGCCTGTGATGCTCCCCGACGACAACCCGGCCGATTTCTCTTACTTCTTCGATACGTCAGGCCTCCGAACCTGCTATGTCGCCCCCGAGCGCTTCTATGCTTCTGGAGAAACCCCGCCGAAGAATGCGAAAATGACATGGGCAATGGACATCTTCAGTGCTGGCTGCGTTATTGCGCAACTGTTTCTTGAGTCGGACATCTTCAGCCTCGCACAGCTGTACAAGTATCGGCGCGGCGAGTACGACCCTGTGATTACGCATCTGAGCACCATCGCAAACAAGGACCTCGCTGATATGATAGCCCACATGATTCAGCTTGACCCCGAGAAACGATACTCAGCAGACCAGTACCTGGAGTTCTGGAAAGGCAAAGTATTTCCACACTACTTCTACAATTTTCTGCACCAGTATATGGAGCTCATAACAGACCCTTCATCTGGCAACAGTCCCATGTCAGGGACTTCGAAAAATCTTGGAGAAGCTGATGATCGAATCGATCGTGTATTTTACGACTTTGATAAGATCTCATACTTCCTCGGTTATCAGCTTGAGAAACGTACCTCTGACGAACTTCAACCGCCTCCCAGGCTGAGCCTATCGCATTTCCCAGTGAGACTTAACATACCGAATCACAACCATACCGTATCTTCCGAATTAGAGCCACCAGAAGATGATGGAACGTTGATATTCTTGACGCTGATCGTGTCTCAACTAAGAAACACTGCGCGGGCATCTTCACGAATCCGCGCATGTGATGTACTCCTTGCCTTTTCTGAACGACTAACTGATGAAGCCAAGTTGGACAGAGTTTTGCCATATCTAATGACACTTCTTGTCCCAGATGAGACAGATCTAGTGTTGATTGCTGCTATTCGAACCATTACCCAGCTTTTGCAGCTGGTGCAGACAGTCAATGCATTCAACTCTCATGTCCTGGTAGAGTATGTATTACCTCGCATGGAAATCGCGCTGGGGTCTAGAACAAGGGCACCCAGTTCTTTGGTAAGAGCAGCTTATGCTTCTTGTCTCGGCAGTCTTGCGACTACTGCACAGAGATTCCTCAATATGGCCTCGAGCCTTCGAGCTGATGGCTCGATGCCTATTACTGATCCTGAAGTCGAACCTGGGGCGGATGCCAAGGCCAACTTCGAGAGCGTCTTTGACAACGCTGGGCGACAGCTTTTTGAGGCTCTTGAGAGCCATTCAAAACAATTGGTAGAAGACCCGGACATTTCAGTTCGCAGAGCATTTTTGGCCTCCGTACCCGAGCTATGCCTCTTCTTCGACCATCATTCAAACGATGTCCTCCTTACTCATCTTAACACATATCTGAATGATCGAGACTGGACGCTGAAATGCGCATTTTTTGATACGATTGTCGGTATCGCAGCCTTCATCGGAAGCACGAGTTTGGAGGAGTTCATGCTCCCTTTGATGATACAAGCCTTGACTGATCCAGAGGAGTACGTGGTACAGGCCGCCCTCCATTCGCTTGCTCAGCTCGCTGGGCTTGGTTTGTTATCAAGGCCCAAGGTTTGGGAGCTAGTTGACCTCATCAGCCGATTCACGATGCACCCAAACATCTGGATCCGCGAATCAGCGGCAGAATTCTTATCAATGTCGGCACGGTACTTGCCACCTGCTGATATGAGGTGCAACCTGATGCCTCTTGTAAAACCGTTCCTGAAAGTGGAGGTTCTCTCAGACTTCTCCGAGCTCAACATACTTGATGCTCTCAAGAGGCCATTGGCTCGAAATGTCTTTGACCAGGCTATAACGTGGGCCTCGAAGACAGAACGCGGTATCTACTGGAAGCCCCTGCAACAGCTCAAACCATTGTTGTTCGGCTCTAAAGGGTCAACATCAAGCCGTGCCTCTCGGGACTTAATGCAAAGCTCCATGGGGCGAGTGGCTCGAAATGACGAAGATGAGCAATGGTTGACAAAGCTCAGAAACCTCGGGCTCAAGCACGAGGATGAGTTGAAGCTCGATGCCCTACGTGAGTTCATTTGGCGTCTAAGTAAAATAAAGGCGCGTGATACTCCGACATCAGATGGTGCCACATCCAGTGGTGTGGTATCTCTCAAATCATTGGGAGTCACTCCTCAAACGGTGTTCTTCAATGACGCGCCACTTCGAGATCCCAATGCAGTCGTGGATCTTGAGCCACCAGCGGAGCCTTACACAATTGCAGATGCCCTCTTGGACGCCTCCATGACTATTGACGACTCGGCTGGCGGAAAAAAGAGGGTGAACAACAACCGACGAGTGCAGAGTGTCGGACCTCGTTCATCACGCCGTCTCCTTTCACCAACTAGCGCTGGTCGAACGCATACTAGAGCACCCTCCGCAGGGCAGCTGATGCAGACAGCCGACGATGGTCCCTCTCAGGGAGAACCGCCTTCTAGAAATGCAGTGCGCCATCAGGCGAGCGCCCTGAGTCTCCTTGACCGCAAGGACAAGAACAAATCGATCGCACAAACTGGCACCACTGACGCAAATGCATTTGGTGAGGTTGAGGGGCCTTTTGCTCAGACTTCAGCCGACCAGCAAGCTTCCTCTGAAGGGAATGAAGGCGACACTACCGGCTCCCGGGTGTCGAAACATAGTTACGCAGGCAACGATCCAAGCATACAAAGAATGCTGGATAACATGTATGTTGATAACTTTCCTCGTGATGTTATCGAATTTGGGCCTATGGTCACTCCGATCAAGAGGAGCAAAGCAAGTCGCGCCAGTGTTCAACCTGGCGAGGAACCTTGGAAGCCGGTCGGACAGCTTGTTGCAACGTTTTCCGAACACAAAAGCCCCATCAATAGGGTTTTACCATCCCCTGACCATGTTTTTTTCATCACTGGCGGCGATGACGGTACTGTGAGGGTTTGGGATACGGCTAGGCTCGAGCGAAACATTACACACCGTTCTCGTCAACTCCACAAACACGGAGATAACACACGAGTTGTCGCTCTCTGTTTTGTGGAGAACTCGCATTGTTTTGTGAGCTGTGCATCTGATGGTACGGTTCACGTAGTGAAGGTCGACACTGTATCTGCTGGTGGTGTTATTAGGTATGGCAAATTGCGCGTTCTGCGAGAGTATCAACTACCAGATGGCGAGTTCGCGGTGTGGTGTGAACATTTCAGACAAGAATCGAACTCGATTCTTGTCATTGCTACTAACCGCTCAAGGATTCTTGGTATCGACTTGAGGACCATGAGTCTCCTTTACACTCTCGAGAACCCAGTACACCATGGAACGCCAACTTGCTTTTGCGTGGATAGGAAGCGCAACTGGCTTTGCGTGGGCACTTCTCATGGAGTTGTTGACCTCTGGGATCTGCGTTTCAAGATGAGGCTCAAGGGCTGGGGCCTACCAGGCAAAGGGTCAATCTACCGGATTTGCATCCACCCTACCAAAGGCCGTGGCAAATGGGTATGCATTTCTGGCGGTACTGGACAAGGCGAGGTGACGGTTTGGGACCTGGAGAAAACGGTCTGCCGAGAAATTTATAGAACGGGTGGCAGCAAGGATGGACTCAAAGCGTATGAGCCATGGGATGTGGACGAAGATAAGCGAGAAGGCATGCTCGGACGATATGCTACTAACATCGAACCCAACGAAATCGCCAATACCGATCGTGGAGTACGTGCCATGGTTGTCGGAACTGCAACTGCAGAAGATTCGAGAGACGTGAGACACGCCTTTATCGTCACTGGCGGATCAGATAAGAGACTTCGCTTCTGGGATCTGTCTCGGATGGAGAGCTCGTTCATCTACAGTGGGCTGTCCCCAGATCTACCTAAACCGACTTACACGACCTCGCACCCAACCACGGCGCTGACGTTGAACATGGAGCGTTTTCCTAGACAGGCTCCAACGGCCCCAAATGCTGGTTCTGGATCAAGAGCCAAGTCATCGACTGCCCGACCACCTCGATCGACAGTTATATCCCTACAGCAACAACAGTTGCTGCAGTCTCACGTGGATTCTATTTTAGATGTGGCGTTGTTGGAGTTCCCATATATCATGAGCGTTTCAGTGGATAGGATGGGCGTCGTCTTTGTGTTTCAGTAGAGCCGGAATACAGCTGGTGACACGATGCAATTTATAAAAACATCAAGAGCAATCACCTTTTAGTTTGCTGGTAGCTTGTTTCTGGATAGAATAACTAAGCAAGAATTAGATTATCATTAACTGCTAAGCTTAGGTACATTGCAGTTTGTCCTAAGGAACTTCTAAAGAGGTGCTTAATATACGTGAACTCTTTCGAATATCCCGAGCCAATCCCTATTTCGTGATTGACTGGTATATGTTGTAAAACTTATCTAGAGTTGAGTTGCTGGTCCCTGAATCTGAGTCTATGGTGGCTGGGGCCTGCCTGTGTGCCACTCTAAGCTCAAGCCACAAGCCACACGCGACACCAAAATTTCCCCCACGCCTTGTCAAGTCGCAGCCTTGCCTTACCATAAATCAACACTACCGACATTCGCACGCCCTTTCAAACAGTCCCCGAACTCGACCACGCAGCGAGCCAAATCCAAGCAACCGCATTTTTGAACCCGAGGTAAAGGCCCCAAATCCAAGATGCGGCTCACCGCCGACCTCATCCGGGATTCCCTATCCTACCTCAACCCGCTCAAGGAGCGAGAGCTTGATCTTCGAGGTGCGTTTTGAAAAGAGCAGATGCTACATTTTTGATCTCTAGAGAGCGCAGAGTTGATACAATCGTCTTTGCGGCGTGAACAGGCCATCGAATTCCCGCGATTGAGAACTTGGGTGTCGCTGGCGTAAGTTCCAAATTCTCTGCCTTGTTGCTCTGTTGCTAACAGCTTAGCCTCACGATGCCATTGACTTCACAGATAATGACATTCAAGTACTGGGAAACTTTCCCTTGTCGCCTCGCATAACGACCCTTCTCCTCGCACGAAACCGCGTCTCAAGCATTCAGCCCTCTCTGGCTAAGGCCATCCCGAACCTTGCCAACCTGGTGTTATCGTCGAACAACCTGACAGAGCTTGCGGATTTGGATGCGCTGGCGTCATTTCCCCGCTTGACGCACTTGGTACTGTCGGATAACCCCGTTTCCAAGAAGGAGGTCAGTTTGAGACGTGTCGACTAGTGTAGCAATGACTAATGCAAGATGCAGAACTATCGATACTGGGTGCTGTGGAAGTGTCCTTCCGTGCGGTTTCTCGACTTCGAAAAGGTCAAGGAGTCCGAGCGGGAGAAGGCTCGCGAGCTCTTCGGAACTGAAGAAGAGCCAACAGCTCTGGCTTCAAAGGTATGGACACCGCCAATTATGAAATAGTTGCACGACGCTAACAACGACACAGATCCAAGGTATCAAGACCACAACCTTCAACACCTCGACTGACGGCTCGGACGCGCCCTCCAAGCTTTCCCGAATAAAGCTGACAGACGCCGAGAAGAAGCGACTACAGGAGCGCATCAAGAAGGCTACCAGCCTACAGGAGATTATCGCGCTGGAGAAGGAACTGAACGAGGGACGTCTGCCTTCTGGTATTCACGGAGATGCCATGGAGGAATAAATCTTGACAACTATGATGGCTATGTACCACTTGTTTTGGGGGTTGCAGAAAAAACACTATGGATTATTTCGCTTTCGCATTATGGCTATCGCTCCAACCTAAGAAATGAGAGTTGGTGCCAAATATCGAGATTGTCATTTGTTTTGTGATGTACATGATGACGATGATAGACCGCTTTTGTCATCGTTTTCTAATTCAGCAGACTAACGGTCAATCCTGAAAACGCCTCTTTTGCCATGATCCACCCAGCAAGTGAGCAATACTATAACTAGCCAGTCATTGCTACGTCTCCATCCCGATTCGCACCAGAAGCCTGTCTGAACTCCAACTCCAACTGCGAGTTCGGGTCATCCTGTCTATCATGATGAGCTATGGAGTTGCCGTTCACAAGAGGCTTGCCAACGCCGTTGGCTAGGGGAAACTCGAGCTTCTGGTTGGTATTGTCGCCTTGGAGACGTGCCTGCGTGGCCTTGGCCTTGGCCTTGATGTTCTTGTAGGGCACAGTCTTTGGTACCACGTCTTCAAGAAACTCGAGGTTGTCATGGTGTGCAACAGCGCTTGCTATTGAAGTTAGAAGGGGTTGTTGAGCCAAGGATGAGGGAGCTGACTTACCGACATCCTTGTATTGGATGTTCCGACGAGGTTTGCGGTCTAGCTTGGCTTGGGTATGTGATTCTTCCGCAAGATGCTGAACAAACATTTCCTATGTCGTATGAGTATGACGGGGGTGAGAATGGGTAGCAAGCACATACGGCAGCGAGAGTTATCACGAAGGCTGCATTGTTAGAGCACAGACCGATATCTGGGTCTTGTGCGATGATCTTTTTAACTCTAGAGACTATCGCCATGTTAGGTTGGGACTGAAGAGCATGGTCAATAGGTAGCTTACGAGGGAGCTGATTCTGGCCTGTAGGCTCCTTCCGAGGAGGAATAGCAGTGGTGTTGTAAGGCATGGTAGTAGTAGAGACGAAATCGCTAGAAAATGTGAAAAGATTGAGTGAGTCTGAGTGAGTTAGAGAGAGCTAAACAGATGCATCAATGCGTGAGGAGGAGGGCTTTGTATTGGCGAGGGACGAAGGTCAAAGTTGAGTACAGGGGTAAGAGAGTCGTAGGAGTAACCTGAAAATACAAGGCAGGGACAAATAAACACCAGAATGAAGCACACGGTGAATTCAAAGTTGAAAATGACAATTGAATTGCACGACCATCTTGAAAACAGGAAATGTGAGCCGTACCTTGACTACAAGCGAATTCTCCCAGAATTGTATCAGGGGCTGCGATTCGTTTGAGAGTTGGGAGTCGAGAATGAAGGGAATATGAGGGATATGCTTATCAAAGAGAATATCGAAGGTTTTGCATCGACATCAATGGCTGATAAGTCGAGTTGAATGTGAAATTACTGTTCTTGTAAAGCCAAGATACCTACAGTAAACGAAGAATGACATTCACTGATGAGGTCCGAGACGCGATGCTGCAACCACTAAACGCGATACTGTGGCTGAACCCAAAGCCACACATCAGCTGTCAGCATCCCTGTTGGTCACTATGACACTCACCATATAACAACGTTTACGAAAGAAATAGCCTTTACCAAAGAAACAGCCCTCATCTTGGCCTCGCTAGCATTTTCAATCATTCAATCCGATCATCCCGACTTGCGCGACTTCAAAGATAGCGGTTGAGCGACAATGGTCGCCTTGCCTGAACCATGAACGTGCGACAATCATCCTTCAGCTTGGCGCCTCCTGGACCTGGACTTGAAAGACGTCCTTCGGTGGTATCGCGTTTATCCTCCGTCTTTTCGAATGCAGATCAAGAAACAGGGAGTGCATCACGGACAGGGGCTGGGCTTATCGAGGAGGAGATTGCCGAGATTAAGAGATATGAAGTATGTTGTGGGACACTGGATATGCGGCTCTGTGCTAACTAGCTGGACCAGGACTTTACAACAATAGGTATGCGACTCGATCGACTACAATACGGACTTCGGTACTGATATACGGCAGACTGGGTGCAAGATGCGGCGCGAGAGCAAGCTAAGCGTAAGGCGCGAAGAAAGCAAGCGGCCGGCCTCTACGATAAAGGACAACCAGGCTGGCGATATCAGCTGTGGAGGAGTTATGATGCAGCGCAAGCCTGGATCGTGGTAACAATCATTGGTGTTGCTATTGGCTTGAATGCAGCACTACTCAATATCATTACAGAATGGCTCTCCGACGTCAAGATGGGCTACTGCGAGACAGGCTTCTATTTGAATGAGAACTTCTGCTGCTGGGGAGAAGAGAATGGTATGTTGTGTCCAGGCTACCCAGGGTATGTTGACAAGAATGATGCTGATGCCAGACAGGCTGCGATCAGTGGCACAGATGGACTGGCTTCGAACCCTTCAACTATTTCATCTATTTCGTCTTTGCAGTAAGTGCCAAGTCTTCATTCGCACTTGTGTATACTAACGGCATAGACTCTATTTGCTTGTGTTGCGGGCACCCTGGTTAAGTCTTTTGCACCATATGCTGCTGGTTCGGGTATTTCTGAGATCAAGTGCATTATTGCCGGGTTCGTTATGAAAGGCTTCCTTGGATGGTGGACTTTGATCATCAAGTCGGTATGCCTCCCTCTAGCCATCGCCTCTGGTTTGTCTGTTGGAAAAGAAGGCCCAAGTGTACACTACGCCGTGTGTACGGGAAATGTGATCTCTCGACTTTTCGACAAATATAAACGCAACGCTTCTAAGACTAGGGAGTTTCTGAGCGCCTCGGCAGCTGCCGGTGTCGCTGTCGCCTTTGGCAGTCCTATCGGCGGTGTGCTTTTCTCTCTTGAGGAAATGTCGAACCAGTTTCCTCTCAAAACATTATGGCGAAGCTACTTCTGTGCCCTGGTAGCGACAGCTGTTCTCGCTGCCATGAATCCTTTCCGAACGGGCCAACTAGTCATGTTCCAGGTCGAGTATAAGAACGACTGGCACTTCTTCGAGCTGCTATTCTACGTCCTAATTGGTATTTTCGGAGGTCTCTACGGAGCCTTTGTGATCAAGTGGAATTTACGGGTTCAATCATTCAGAAAGAAGTACTTGAAAGAGTATGCAGTTCTTGAAGCGACTTTACTGGCAGCGGGAACTGCTATTATTGCCTACCCCAACGCCTTCTTGAGGATAGACATGACAGAGAGTATGGAGATCCTCTTCTCGGAATGTGGGCGTGGAGAATCGTACCATGGTCTCTGTGAGCCTGACAAAAGATGGTGGAACATAATTTCACTGTTCCTGGCGACGTTCCTAAGACTTTTCCTGGTTATACTATCCTATGGATGCAAGGTCCCCGCCGGTATCTTCGTTCCGTCAATGGCAATTGGAGCGTCCTTCGGAAGAACAATTGGAATCCTTGTTCAAGCTATTCACGAAGCAAACCCCACCAGCGTCTTCTTTTCCGCATGTAAACCTGACGAGCCTTGCATCACACCAGGTACATATGCCCTACTAGGAGCCGCTGCCGCACTCAGTGGCATCATGCACATCACCATATCTGTGGTGGTTATCATGTTTGAGCTCACAGGTGCTCTGAACTATATTCTCCCCACCATGATCGTCGTTGGAGTCACCAAAGCTGTCAGCGAATTGTTTGGCAAGGGAGGCATCGCAGACAGAATGATATGGTTCAGTGGAATGCCATTCCTCGACAGTAAAGAGGAGCACAATTTCGGGGTTCCCGTCTCAGCTGTCATGAGAACTTCGGTTGTCTCGATGCCCGTCCATGGGCTTACCTTGGGCGAGGTCCAGAGCCTCCTCGCTGATGATCGATACCAAGGCTTCCCCGTGGTGGAAGATAAACACACCAAGGTACTTGTTGGTTATATCGGCAGAACGGAGTTGCGATATGCCATTGATAAGATGAGTCGAACCTCACCGTTATCAGAGACTGCAAAATGCACATTTGCACCATCGTCGGCAAATCTGTCCAGTACATCGCTCAACAACATCCATAGCGACTCATCTCACCCTTCAACTCTCGACTTTAGCCGATATGTTGATGCAACACCCGTCACGGCTCACCCGAGACTACCCCTCGAGACTGTCATGGAGCTGTTTCAAAAGATCGGACCTCGAGTAATATTGATTGAATATCATGGCAAGCTCACTGGTCTCGTAACCGTCAAAGACTGTTTGAAATACCAATTCAAGGTCGAAGCCGCCGAGAACCCCAAGGATGATCATCGTATCGAAGAGGGGCAAGAGCAACTTTGGAACCTTTTCCAAAGAGCCGGTAATTGGTTCTCTGGCCGAGTTTCAAGATACTCAGGAGGCCGGATTCGCCTGACAAGCACGTCTGGTGGTGAGCGGCCACTGGGGAGAGGGCAAATATTAGACGGTGACGAGGAGGTGCTCGATGAGGGTGTCGAGCTGGAGAGTCGGCGGTAATTGTATGACCATGTTGATTGTCACATTTTATTATCTGTTCCCATAGAGACGTGCATGATAAGCTGGTGTTCGGGATTGAATCTATTTTTTTCTAACTCAGGCTAAATGTCTCAATTCTATCAAAGATCCAACATGTCTCTCGTGGCATTCTGCACCGCGACTGTGTGACTAGCCAGCCTGTCTATCGTGTTCTCTCATCCGACTCTCTGCCCAAATCAATAACATCCTCATCGTCATCCCGCTGTGCTCCATCATCTTCAGTCGGCAAAGGAACATAACTTGGCCCCTCAGCAGCTGCCGCAGCACCAGTGTCTTTAGTCTCGTCCTTCCGTCCCACGATGACATTGCCTGCGACAAGAAGCGCAGCACCAGCCCACCACAGAGGAGGGAGGGCTTCTGAGAAGATCAAGGCACCTAGGACAGCGGTAACCATGAAGTTCGTGGATGTATTCATGATGGAGACTTGAGTTGTGGACGTACCACGGGCAAGAGCTTGAGTAAACAGCGTCCACATCTGAAGCATATGAGTGAGTGGTCAGAGGTTCGACTAGAAGTCACTTACAACGCCATTGAATGTCAAATTGAGGACAAAGAATATCTGAAAGATTTAGTTGTGAGTCGAGTAAGCGCAGAAGAGATCAACTTACGCCTCGAACGAGATATTCGACTACATGCTCATGAGCGGATAGGCCGATCAGTTTCGCAATGCTGTCGGAAAGGTTGGTGGTGAGTTGTGTAGTTGTCCTGAGTAAATTAGCATACCATAATCTTTTAAGCTACCTCTTTCTAGACTGAAGTTTCTATGGTGCGATCTGCACTATACATTTGGAATAGCCTCTACATAATCGTCACTGTAAGAGAAATATGTCCTTGTACTTACAACTTTGCAAAAACTCCATTGAAAGCAGCACAAGCACCACTAGCAACCGCAAAGAACATCCATTGCGACCGCAGGCTCCAATTACTTGGTGACGGCATCTCAGGGGATGGTTGTTTCTGTAAAGGCGAAGAAGAAGGAGGTCCAGCTTCTGGCTTCTGACGTTTACGGAGCATGGTCGTCGGATTCTTCGGAGGTCTTAGGTTGGTGAGAATGGAGGGCCCCTGATGATGATGGATTGACTTGGCGTCCTTGTTAGAGGCTGAGAAGTGGTCTTTTAGTGGGGGACCACCTGTCTTAGGCAGAGTCGCCCCTGGTTAGAGACGTTTTAAGAAGCCAGCCTAGGTAGGTAGAGGAGGAAACAAAACTCGGGACTTTGACCCTAAATGACAAAAAGATTTAGAAATTTAGGTAATTTAGTATAAATTTAGGGGAGGTTTAGTGGAGTTTTTACTGAGTTTATTCTTAACACCTTATATCATGGCCCGATATTTTTCTTGCTCCCTGAGGGGCTGGCTTCACCACCAGAATCCGGGGAAGTGAATTTATGGACGTCATGTTGCTGTTATCTCGCGACCTATTGAGTAACATAGGTTCCAAATAAAGCAATGTAATATCATTCTTGACTGAACTTCTGTTGACTGTGCATAAAACCCAGTCTAGTCTCCTAGCACTGAGTCTAGTGCTTAACTTCTTGCCCACGATAAATCAATGTCCTGTAACTGTAAAGAGCCAGGTTCCAAACGCCGCCCAATGCTGAAAAGCAGAATTTCGGTAGTTTCCCAATCTGTAAAAGTTGCAAATCTCTTTCTTCGTGTTCGATCGTGCGCATTCATGAGTCGTTGACTTATTGTCCCTCGCCAGGCTTCTTGGCGTTGCAGCTAACAATCTTGACCTTGTTCGCCGTGACGGATTGACTCCCATTGTCCATTTTAAAGGTTACATTCTTGATCAAAAAGGTCCAGACTTCGTCGCAGAATCGGTAGGTGTCAAGGCTTCCCTGTAAAAGAGGTGGTTAGTTCTGGAAGTACGTGCGCCGAGCTCGGAGGTATTCGCCCACCTTGAACTGAAGTCTAGCCTTAACGTTCTTCTGAAGAGCCTCGGTGATTGCCTGATCAAAATTGCTCAGAATCTTCATAGCAAGCTGGGGGTTGATGCGCTCGTCGCTGATGAGATCATCAAGGGTATCTGTCAAAGCGAGACCAATGCTGCAGTGATCCATGTTAGTCAGGCTGTCGCATAGCAGCGCATAGCAATATGGCGCAGTACCTGCTTCGACGGTACAGCTCATAGAAAGATTGCGCTCCGGTAGCCATGGTTTCGGGTTTGAAGTTCGGGCGCGAAAAGAAGGCGGTCGTTAAATTTCTATTTTTGGTTTTGGGTGGTTGATAGTTTGTCAAGGGCAAGGTTGATGAGATGCATCTGCCTCGAGGGATGTACAAAGCGGGAATGACTAAGCCGCCACAAACCACCAGTCAGCCTCGCATCATGTGACGTCGGTCCCAGTTATTCCAGTCCAGGTGCCTGCGTCCTGGACACGCATCGCAGCTTCAAGGTACCTTGAAACAGGAGCTCCTTCAAGCTCAGAATAAGCCACTTCATCCGACCCAACGCTCACCATCGCCAACACATCAACCCCTGGATCGTCGAGATAACAACTCGAATACCGTCGCAATGAGTCTGTACTATGGAGTGGGCGGCATTGGGTCGTTCTTGACTATCGTTGGAGCTTGTACGCGAAACCCGTTCCCTATAGGCGTTGATACCCGGAGGCTTCATTGTGCTTGTTACTGACTATGATGTTGTCGTGCAGACATGCTCTTCACCGGAAGTGGCGAGTCCTTCGATATCGGCGGTTTTCTCGAATCAGTTTCGCCTTATACATGGGCGACGCTAGGAATCGCGCTTTGTATCGGTCTCTCTGTCGTCGGCGCTGCATGGTGCGTATACCCTCAACCAACAGTCCTTATAGCACAGCTCTGACACATTGGTTTCAGGGGCATCTTCATTACCGGCTCGTCGATTCTCGGAGGTGGTGTTAAGGCCCCTCGTATCCGAACCAAGAACTTGATTTCCATTATCTTCTGTGAAGTTGTCGCCATTTACGGCGTCATCATGGCTATTGTCTTCTCGCAAAAAGTCGAGAACGTCTCTGGAGCCGAGCTCTACTCCGCCAACTCCTACTACACTGGATATGCCCTCTTCTGGTCTGGTATTACCGTCGGCATGTGCAACCTTGTCTGCGGTGTTGCCGTTGGAATTAACGGTAGCGGTGCTGCTCTGGCCGATGCTGCTGATCCTTCACTGTACGTCATATATCTAGAATCATCATAACTTAGACCAACTACTTATACGCCTCTAGCTTCGTCAAGATTCTTGTCATCGAAATTTTCAGCTCAGTGCTTGGCTTGTTCGGTCTTATCATTGGTCTTCTAGTCTCTAGCAAGGCCCCTGCCTTCGGCGAGAAGAAATAAGCCAGTCACCTATCCATTACCTTAGACGACATCATCAAGTCCGGCGGGTTTACCGACGGCACCACCTTGTGTGTTCAAAAGAGACGGAGCGCGTGCATGCATTGCGCCAATAATATTTGGTCAGGCGTTTGGAAGATTGGCTTGGTGGGACGTATTTTTGCTGTACCTGTACCAGTACCAGTATCATATGGAGGTGGAAGTGTACATCACGATGAGATTTGAATTACATGTTACTAAAGATTTTGATTTTATGCAGGCATGTGCATTGTATGTCTGGTCGCGACTCATTACTGGGACTTGAACCAAATTCTAAGCAGCCTGCACAGCGCTCAATAGCAAAACCTCAACCTTTGACCCCTTCTCCAGTTTCCCTTTCCCACTGGGCAAAATGACCAAGGCGTTAGCTGACCTCAAGCTTCCGACCTTTGAGCTGCGTTGTCCTCCAGTACTTGTAGCTGAGAGCAGCCCATCCTTGCCAACTGTGACCACAGCTCGATGATACTCGGGTCTAGGGTCCAAGGGGAAATCGTGCGAGATGACTGCAGGTACTCTTGGGAGGCCTTTAGTCGAGGCGCCAGACAGCTTGTGCAGTGAAGGGAGCACAAACAAATGGAAAGTAACCAGAGCCGACGCTGGGTTGCCGGGAAGTGAGAAGATGGTCTTGGTAACACGTTGGCCCGAGTTGTCCTTGACAGGAACTGTGGCAAAGGTGGTTGGTTTTCCAGGCTTCATAGCAACACGCCCAAAGTGAATAGTGCCGCCCAGAGAACGCTCAATCGTTGGTTTGAGAAGATCGAGCTCGCCCATGGAGACACCACCGGTGGTGATGAGAAGATCTGCACGTCTGAGTCCATCACGGAGAGTCTCCTCCAAAGTGCCGGGCTTGTCACTAGCAATGCCAAGATCGATAACTTCATAACCCCATTCCCTCGCTGCGGACATGAGAGTAATTCGATTGGTGTCACGGACTTCGCCAAGTTTTAGATCGCCCGGGCGGTTGTACTCGACAATCTCATCGCCAGTAGATAGTACGGCTACCACAGGACGACGGTAAACCTTTGCTTCTGATACTCCCACAGAAGCGAGAAGACCGATCTCACCGCCCACACCGCTGATAGTCTCTCCCTTGTTGAGGATAACTGTGCCTTGTTTGACATCACTACCAACTTCGCGGATGTTCTCACCCTCCTTTACTCCATCGACTTGAATTTCGACTTCTTTCTCCTCCTTGCCATCATCCGACATTGTTTTGAGGACAGTATCCTCAACCATAACAACAGTCGTGGCACCAGGAGGCAGAGGGGCTCCTGTGGTGATTCTAGCCAGTTCTCCCTCGTTCAGAGCCCCGATCTCACCAGGTGAAGCATGAGAGATGGCGGTTACCGGGAAATCGCCCTTTAGCTGGCCATCCTTAGGGGCCACAACTGCGTAGCCATCCACAATACTGGCGCGGAATGCCGGAACATTCTCTCTGGCCTTGACATCCTCGGCCAGAACTGAGTTGATGATGGACTGATTGACTGGTGCTGAGATAACCTCCGGTTCAGGGGTATGCTCTTCGATCAATGACAGGGCTTCTTCGACTGGCAGCATGGGGTAGGGCGATTCTCGGTATCTGCGAGAAGGTCCAAGTGCAGGATCATTAGATAGAGTAGTTCCGGGCTTTGTGTGTCTCACGAGATTCCCATGCCCGTGACCGTGACCATGACCATGACCATGGCCGTGGTGATGATGACCGCATCCACTGGCAGCTGTAGACTGGGCACCTCCACCTGTGAGGCCTGCTTCAGCTTCCAGTTTCTTAATTCCGCCAGAGTGAATAGCTCTGGAATTACCACCTGCAGCCTGGATACAGGCATGGGGTATTGTCTTGACGATGGCTTGGAGGTTCTCCTTGGCGCCTTTGGGTGAACCAGGCAAGGTCACAATGATGGACGAGTTGCGGACTCCTGCTACTGGACGTGACATCATTGCAACTAACAATTTTGTTAGGACTCTCTGATACGATATTGGAAGCGATATCACTTACAGGGTGTGACTGTGAGAGACGCTGCTAACATGCCATGAACGAGGCCTGGGGCCTGCTTATGAAGTAAGGGAGTGACTGCCTAAATACGATTAGCCCTCAATGGCTCATAGATATCTCTATTGAATACTTACTTCTGGAGTAGAGTCTCCAGTAGCAAAACCAGTTCCGCCAGTTGTCACAACGAGGTTGACACTATCAGGGCCGTCGGTCCAGGTAGTTATTTGTCGTTGGATAGCAAGCACATCATCCGAGACAATCTTTGTATCGTGAATTTCCCACTTCCCATCACCTTCATCTTTTAGTACTTGGGTGAGTATAGGGCCTGAAGCGTCAGCGGAAGCGTCCTTGGCTGCTGTGGTCGAGACGATAAGAAGCGCCGCTTTCAAGGGACTGGCAGCCATGGTTTTTACGCGAAATGAGTAACAATCTCAGAAGAACACCGTTGCATAGAATAAAAATACCAGTACCTGTGTATAGTTGTCAAAAGTATAGCTTCTACAGGGAGTTGAGTTCGTCAACTGGTGACGGCGGGGAAGCTCCCTCGTCTACGGCCCCGCTGGACCGCCCCGGTCTTGGTGGGGCAGACCCCGAAGCCGCTACAGTAAACTTCCTCGGAGATACAAGTCGACTTCTTCAGTCACAAGCATTGGTTCAACTTTTATTCGCCAACATCTACAACATCATCATCATTCGATCTTTCACCGCCGCTTCCTCAAAATGGTGCGCATAAAGGAAAGGTATCTCCTTGTCAACATTGTTTACCTGCCAGACCCTGCAAAGGCTGCAAAATCAGATTTGCCAGACTTTGTTCTTAACCATCAACCAACCATCGAAAAGCTCACTCCTGGTGCACTTATCAGGGGCATCAGAGCCGAAGTCGCGTCACTTTATGGCGATTGCGGATCTGGAGCTTTAATGAGCTGCTCAGGTGAGTAGTGGATGGTAAAATTGAACCGATTCGCATTCCTGACATGTCTAGTAAAATACTTGTCCCTGGCAACCTCAACTTTCATCTTACGATGTTCAAGGGCTCACTATCAAATGCTCTGGTCGACATTGACCTTTATGGATCACGTTCCCGTCAAAGACGGAAGGCCGTGTATATTCCGCGTAGTACGCGTCAGTGGGACAATCCGCAAAGCTGAGGAAGAAGCTATTCGTCAGGCCAAGAGACTCATCCTTGCCGCAAAGGAAGATACGGACTCCCAGTCTTCTCTCAGCCTTTCACTACGTAATCAGGACGAAATGGTTCTGGACGTCAACGACGCGTCGAGTGATGAAGAAATGGATGACGAGGACTGATGAACGGGTATCATTTTTTTCTAACTACCTTGATCCCACTGTCCTTTGGAACTGTCATATCTCCAAAGTCGGGATCCATTCCACCCGCTGGAGCAAATGGTTCACTTTGGTCCAGCTCCATGGCCTGTTCTTCTTGGATGCGAGCCAGCTCCTCCTCTGCCTCGCGCTCCATTTGGTCGTATTCCGCCTTTTGATCAATCCAGCGCTCCTGGATATCCTGCACCTCTAGCATGGACGACTCACTCCTCATGGCGACCGCCCACACTGTGTCATTGGCACCTTCAGCACCGCCAAAGACGTATCCACCGGCACGATCAATGACACGAAGAATGTGCATCATGCTTTTCTTGTTTTCGACGGCCAGGACCTCATAACGCACCAGACCGTAACTCTCGATCAGATTTGCGATAGCCTCGTTCAGCTTGCCAAACTTTTCGCTCCTCAAAGCCGGCGATTCTGATTCGAGATGGGGCGTTAAATATGTCAGGTCGTCTACGTCTGTATAATAGTC